GTAGCCCTGGCTGTCCTGGAACTTACTCTGTAGAGCAAGCTGACTTTGACAGGACTCAGAGAGCTGCCTGCCTCTGCCTCCCGAGTGCTGGGATGCATCACCATGCCCAGCTGTTTTTATTTTTTTAAATTTAAACAATATTCTCGTGTATTTATTTTCTGTGCGTGCACACGTGTGCGCATATATAGGCCAGAGTACGTGTGGAGGTATCCTGCTTCCATGAGAGCCTTTCATTCACAAACGTTATGTGTGATCACTGCAGGGCTTAGGCTCAGATATTTTAATTATGTGCTCATGTGATCTCCATCATTGTTGTTTCCTTTGAAACAGGCCCGTAACTATGTAGACCAGGCCGGCCTTGAGCTCACAGTGATCCTCCTGCCTCTGTTTCCTGACTGCTGGGATTAAAGATGGGTGTTACCATGCCTGACCTATTTCTCTGTCCTCTATCCTAACCACTCCCACTTCCCTCCTGTCCCCCCCCCCCGCCAGCTCCTTGATCCCTGGCAATTGTTAATATGTTGACCTCATCTCTGATAAACTTTAAGTATGTCATAGAAACAGAACCATACAGTATGTAACATCTATATAATATACAGTATTGTACAGTGTATAACAGCAACTTGCGTTTTTGCCTCTGAACACTGATTCTCAGATCTCTGTGTATATCAGTAGCTCATTTTTCTTGCTATCTAGTATTCCGTGGGGTGGATGTACCGTAGTTTGTTTAGCCACCTGCCTGGAGAAGAAAATCTGCTTCCAGTCTTATGCTCTTAGGAGTATGCAGCTGCCAAGAGGTTTCTTAGTGTGGATTTTAATTTTGAATTATCTGGACCAAATGCCTGGAGCATGACTTCTGGGCTACGTACTAGTATTTTTAAAGACTGAGCTCTTATTTTTAATTACGTGTGTGTGTGTGCATGTGTGCATATGTGTGTGTGTATGTGTGTGTGTGTGTGTGTGTGTGTGTGCACACTAGAGTGCATTGTCCGTGGAGGCCAGAAGAGGGCACCATGTACCCTGGATCTGGATTTACAGACAATTGTGAGCTGCTTAATGTGGCTCTTGGGAACTCAAAAGAGCAGCCAGTGCTCTTAACTACTGAGCCCTGCTCCCCTCTAAAAAAGAAACTTGACAAATTATTTGCAGAGTGTCTGGTTCACATCCCACTGTGATGTGGGTGTCACCCTCTTCTCCACATCCCATCCCCATCAGCGTTTGCTATAATTCTTGGCTTTGCTGTTCTGTTGGGTATTTCATGATGTCACACTGTGGTTTCAGTTTGAATTTCTTTGTTATTAGGTCATATGCTTCCTTGCTTCCGTATTTAACAGAAGAGTGTCCTAATTGCATTCAGTTACTGTGATAAACACTATCACAAAGGCAGCTTCTTCGTCTTCTTCTTCTTCTTCTTCTTCTTCTTCTTCTTCTTCTTCTTCTTCTTCTTCTTCTTCTTTTCTCAGCTTACAATTCTAGGTCACAGTCTATCACTGAGGGAAGTCAGTACAGGAATTCAAAGCAGGGACCTGGAGCAGAAACCATGGAGGAACACTACTTACTGGCTTGCTCTCCAGCTCATGCTCAGCTACCTTTCTTATAAAACCCAGGAGCACCTGCCTAGGAATGATATCACCCACAGTGGGCTAGGCCCTCCTATGTTAATCACCAACTGAGGCAATCCCCCATAAACACACCCACAGGCCAGGCAGGTGGAGGCAATTCTTCAATTGAGATTCTCTCTTCCCAGGCTTGTCAACTTGGCAGGCAAGGTTAGCATCTCAGAGTTAAGGTGTGGGCTCTGAAAGTGGAAATGAAGCAAGATTCAGGCAAATGGGAAGATATCCCATGTTCATGGATTGGAAAACGTGGTGGGGTTCAGACGACAACAGTCTCCAGGCTGATCCCTAGACACGACAGAGTCTCCCTCAGTACCCCAGATAGTTTCACTGCATAGAACAAGAGGCAGATCCTAAAGTTCACACACTCCACAAGGAACCAGAACAGCCCAGACACTACTGAACAGAACAGAGAGGGTTCAGATGTCTACGAAGCCGAGCCCATCAGGACAGCGTGTTCTTGGCATTGGGAGACGTATTAGTCACTGGGATAGAATTTAGAGTTCAGAAATAAACTCATCACATTTATGATGAGTGGATTTCTGACACAGGACAATTTCTCACGACACTGGGACTACTCATGGTAACCGGAACTACTGGATACCGACATGAAAAAGGATGAATTTGAACCTAAACTTCACCATATGCGAAACTAATTCAGGATGGACCAAAGGCATATATGAAGGGGCTAAATTGTTAGGCTGAAAGGAATCTGCATGGGCTTGGATTAAGAAGTAGGGGTTTTGTTTGTTTGTTTTGTTTTTTTATACAAGGCTAAAAGCACAGCCAGTAAAACAAAAATAGGTAATTGGCCTCCATCAGAACTGTTGCCTTCTGTGCTCTTTTTAGTGAATGTCTTCATGTCTACTTTGATTTTTCTAACCATTTTCCTCACCCGTTCTCCTCCTTTTACTCTCTCCCCACTCCTCATTATTTGAGATGGGGTCTAACTTGTCTCAGGCTGACCTCAAACTCCTTGTGTCACTGAGGATGATTTTGAACTTCGCATCCTCTTGCCTCCGCCTCACAAATGCTGAGATTACAAACCATGCCTCCCTGTGCCCAATTTATGTTGTGCTGAAGATTGTGCACGGGGCTTCATGCATGATACGTGAGCATTCTGCAGGCTGAGCTACATCGTGGCCCCTAATGTGCCACTTTCGTGTTTAGGTCCGTGTTTAGGCTACTAGCCTAAAGGCTACTAGCTCTTTGTTACATATGTGTTTGCAAATGTTTTCCTCTTGTCCATGGCTTGTCTTCTTTTTCCTTTTCAACGGGGCCTTTCGCAGAGCAGAGCTCTTGGGAGGAAGAACTGACATTTTTATAATGTGGGGTCTTTCAATTCGTGTCTCTTTGGTTTAGATACTCTTTGATTTCTTTTGGTAGAGCTTTTGTTTATTTGTTTTTGTTTTTGGTGTTTAAGTCCTGCACATTACTTTCATATTTCTACTCTTATATCTATATTTTATATCTCTAAGTATCTAATTTTTGGGATGACCTGTGACTTTTTGGCATTTTAAACTTTTCTGTTCTTATGTTCAATATTGGTGGGTGGAAATCAATTGATTAATGGCCTCTCATCCAGCATCCTATGGGATTTTGAACTCATGGTTCTTAGTCTCTGTAAATTCCTGGGATTTTTCTCTCATACACTCACAGAGATTTCTTTTTCTTCCTTTCCTGCTGTTCACCCTGGTCCCAGCATCCAGCACCGCACTTAGCATCACGAATGGATGCAGACATTTTTCTCTTGTTTCTAGAGTCATTTACTTTTGATTTTGAGCAACTATTTTTTTTAGAGTAGCTTTGGGTCCATAACACCTCCAGCCACCACACACACACAGTCCCCAATTCTAGCGTTCCACTAGAGTCATGTTCACGCCACAGTCAATGGGTCACGTTGATGAGTCATTGTCACCAGGCTTCTGGGATTTCCAGAAGATCTGTGAACTCCGGATGTGAATCGTGTCAGTTTTGACACAGGTACAATCTTACAACCTTATATGAGGCAACTTTACTGCCCTGAGAATCCCTGTGTTCCTCCGTTCCTCCCTCTCACCTTTTCCAGAACACCACAGAATCGGGATGCGTGAGCCAGCATCATCTTCAGACTAGCCTCTTGTACTTAGAGATATGCACTTCAAGTTCCCTCAGTCTTTCCTAGCTCGACAGCTCATCCCTTTTCAGCACCATATCCTATCCCATCATCTGGGCGGGCCACTTTCTGTCTCCTCAGTCTTCTGCTGAAGTGTGCTTGGCTGCTTCCAAGTTCTGGAAGTTAGGGACAAGGTTGCCTCGGCGCCCCCAAGACTTTGTGTGGACAGGCTGTCAGCGTCTTTGAGTGAATGGTGAGCAGCAGGGCTGTGGTAGGATACGGTGAAACACATATTTGTTTAATCCCACTGACTGAAACCTGCTGCTGTTGTCACCAGGTTTGGGAGCTGGGGCTGGGTTGTGAGGGCCGGCACAGTTACTCCTGGGGTGTAGCATTTGGTTCTTTGCTGTCCTTTTGTTCCCCACTTCAATGCCCGGCATCCTGGGCTCATCCTGTGAGGATTCCTCACCTTTCCTCCATCTTCTCCCATGCTGGGAACCACCGAGGGAGGACTGACTGGTCTCTGGGGTGTGGGGTGCCTCTAAGTGACTCAGGAGGTACCAGCTGGTGACTTCCTATTTCCTTGGTGAGCACTGATCATCATGGGCCAATAGAGAAGATGGAGGAAATATTTCAGAAGGAGGAGTGTAGATGGAGGGAGGGGCCAAGGCATCCCCATAGGCAGGACCTGGATTTGGGGATTCAGGTGGTTCACACCTATGTGGATTAAGGATGAGGGTCTTAAGTCACTAAGTAATGAAGGCCACTGTCCCCTCACCAGAGGCAAGGAGCGTGGTCGGTTCATGTGAATCAGAGCTGGTGAGTGTGTGGATGGGGGTGCTGTCCAAGGATGTAAATTGGGGGACGCCCTGGCCTCCTTGTCCTCCTTGTCTGAGGACTGGGACAGGAGACTCACTGTCTTCTGAGAAGCTCAGGCGCGCCCCACCAAGTACCCAGGGAATCAGATTAGCCATATCCAGGCTTCTCCCCCAGAGAGCCCAGGATAGCAGGACAGCCACACCCAGGCTCCCAGGCCTTATACCGCTGCCAGACTCTTCCTCACGCCAACCAGGCTGCACCCGCTCAGAACAGGGTCTTCCGGGCCTACTTTTTGGCCCTTGACCTTGAACCAACCTTGAGATCTTCAGGATGGGCCCTTAACCCCCAGTCCCTTGGCTGAGCCCCCAGAACCTGGTCCTCTCCCTCCTCCGCCCACAGGGACAACAAGTTACACTGCTTGGGGTTCCCAGCGTGTGTTCTGAAACATCGAAACCAACATCAGCCAGGGAAACAGTTGTCTCGATTTCTCCTTTATTAAAACTAAGGACGTCGTTATAAAAACCACTATATAGAAAGACAAACGCAGCGAGACAGCGTCAGTGTGACACACACTATTATTACATTGGATCGGGACAGGGGAGGATAGCTGATATCAGGTTTTTTTGTTTTGCTTTTGTTTTTGTTTGGTTTTGGTTTTCCTGGTTATGGGCTTTCAGAGAGACCCCCATGCCTACTCAACACTGGCGATTCTAGCAGAGCGATACCTTCCTGCCCCACCCTGTCGACCTGCCCTGTCCCACTGACTCAGGGTGGAACAGGTCCTTTGCAGGAAGGTCCCTTGCCTCTCTAGGGTGGCCGGGCCCTGGCCTTGCAGCTTAGTTATTGCACTTCGCCCATATGCTCACCTGTGGGTATTAGAAGAAGACACTTCCCCACAGCTTGAACAAGACAGTGGGGAGAGATGGGAAGAGACCGGATGTGAGATAATGAGACACAACACAGGCCTAAGAGCTCACGCTAATCAGATACTAGCTGCGACCAAGCTAGGAGGTCACGGTGGCTCTGTGACTCCAGTTGCTGGTCCCATGCTCAATTTAAGGTAGACACTGACCGCAAGGGGACTTGGTATGTCTCAGAGGGTGGTTCTAGTTGGTCAAGGGTAAACGGGTCAGGGCTTTGACACTAAGATAAGAGTGTTAATCACCGAGTTAATCACTGACTAATGGTTAAATCCACTCACTCCTCAAGCATTTCTAGCACCGACTACCAGGCAGGAGTCTGGACTGGAGACAGGGTCGGGCAGGACAAACAACGCCAGCTCCAAGGTCACTTCTGTGGGGGGACAGATAAATGTTCTGTGTGTATTTTGAGGGGGGTAGGGTGGGAGTGTTTCTGTTAGGCACAGCGAGTCAGGTAGCAGTGGCGGACCCCAGCCTCTCGTGGGACCCCTGCGTGTTCTCTGACACAACACACGTATTCACACAGGCGGGGCCTCAGGTGGACACAGGCGACACAGCAGGGGCTGCCCAGCAAGCGTCAGCTGAACATCGTGTGGGTGGTGCGTGTGTGTCCCTGCGCAGATGGCCTTGGCTGTCAGTCTTTCCATCCACAGCTCGTAAAGTGCAGGCACACTGCTGAGGCTACAGAAGGCGTGGGAGACCACTGTGGCACCCAACATGACAGGCACCAAGCCTCATTTTCTAGAGGGCACAGGGCCCCGCCTCCTCATGGGCCCCACCTCCTCATAGGCCCCGCTGACCAGCCAGACATTGGCACATACAAGGTGAGCTGAGTGATTCAGCCCGAGGCCGCCACTGCCTCGGCACAGCTCCCTGGCACACAGTGTGCTGGCTCCCTGCCTTTCACACACACACACACACACACACACACACACACAGGACACCGCTTAGATTGCCACCTGTGCCCAAGTGCCTGGGGAGTCTCATGTTTACCTCCCAAACAATTCCTGTTAGCGGGAACCAAGCAGCGAGGTTGAGAAGTTAAAACAAGCCAGTAAGAAACGTCCGGAAGCCCGAGGCTCTGGATCCTCTTGAGACCTCTTTCAGACTGTGTATGTGTGTGTTTGTGTGTGGGTGCATGTGTGAGTGTATTTGTGGACATGTGTGAGCTCTACACGTGGTATTCGTGAGTGTGTATGTATACACAAATGCCGGTGTTTGTTCTCATGTATACACGTGTGTCCACAGACGTGCGTTGCTGAACATATGTAAATTACACTCACTGGCATATGCACATATATGCATGCATGGATATGTGCACATATGTGTTTACATGTGAGTGTGTCCATGCATGTGTGGACATATGAACAAGTACAAGTTATGTTCACATGGGTGGGTAAATTGTGTGTGTGTGTGTGTGTGTGTGTATGTGTGTACATGTGTGTGTGTATTTCTGGGTATGCACATTTGTGTGTGTGTGTGTTCCTGTTGGGATTAAGGCCTTTTGCACACTGGTGACAGTCCCCATCAGATGCTTGGCCACTCCCACGAGAGATGAGCCAGGCATTTCCTCGGTGAGTACAGCCAACCGGGGAGGAGGTTCCAGAGCACACAGATGACAGGGCATAACACTGCTCCCTGAGGACATGCAGTTCCCAGGGGTAAAAGTCAGACAGACACAGGGATGTCCCGTGACCCTCTGTGGGCACACAGCATTTCCTGCCTCTCTGCTTTCTATGGCTACTCACTTGTGTACTGTATGGAAAGCAGGGGACAGACGCAGCTGGACGGGGCAGCAATGGGAGCCTCGGCCGAGACACCGCTCCACAACTGTTTGGGAACTTGCCGTGTCTCTTCAGGACATGCTACTAATTGGCACATCTGCCAGCCATGGACAGGGGGTGGGGGATGGCTTTTCATTATGGCCACCTGGGGTCCTGCAGCCCACCCCGGGTGCTCAGATCTACATAGGGCACAGCTCTTGCCTCCAGTGGCTCTGTGAGGTGGCATGGGGTAAGACCCTGACCTCTGACCCCTGCTTGCCAAGTGAGGAGAGGAGCCTCAGGGAGCATGGGTGGTGGGTGAGCCGGGATCACCCAGCGGAATGGGAGCAGGGTGCCCAAGGCCTGCACAGCTGACCTTTGGGGACAGGGGTACTCCTGTGCCCTGGACAGAGTCCAGATTCTTACCTCAGACACATACATGAGAGATGCAACCAGAACCTTCACGGCGACCTTCAGCTATTCCCTAAGAGACCTCTAATGAACACCCCTCCCCATCCAGAAACCCTGCTGTCCGAATGGCCGTGGTCCATCCTGTGTCTGAGGAAGAAGGCTTCGCAGAGGAAGGAACCCTGAGCCCTGTGCAAGCAGCTGCAGGAGTGTCACCCAGAGCCAACCAAAGGCAGACATCCCCTCCCCATCTGCTCTGACTCCTTCCTCTCGCTCCTGGGGAAACTGAGGCAGGCCGGCCTGTGATCACCTTGCTCACATGCTATCAGAATCTGTCTTATGACCCCCTGACCCCGACCTCTTTAACCTCCAGGGCAAAAGGCCGTTCCATACCCCATGACGTTTCAGCACGTGGGAGAGGGCCCATGTCCATCTTTAATCAAGCATAGGTTCTCCAGGCTGTGTGCAGGGCACAGCAGCGCATCTGAGAGAGACAGGCTGGGTGCAGAGACAGAGGTCTTTGACCCGTGAGGCCTTTAGAACCAGCAGAGTGACAGCTTCCGTGGTCTAAAAATGGGACCACCAAGCGGTGGTCCTCACGTGAGAGGTTGAGAGGATCAAGGGCCTGCCCGAGTGGAAAGAGCCTTATTTCCTGAAACACAGCGCCATCAAAGGGGAGGCCTTGTGCCTGTGCATCGTTATGGTGACAGAGATCTGGGTGTGGTGTCACCCTCTCACCTCTGCTGTTCTTCCTGTCCTGGCCACCTTAGCTTGTTTGCATCTAGGAACCCGAAGGGCATTTGGCTCTTGTAATGGCACTTGCCTGGGCACATCCCTCTTATCTAGATCCCGCTGCTACCCTTGTATGTCGTTCGAACCAGGTTTAAACATCTCTGACCACCCAAGCCCCGCGCAGCCCTCATGATTCGCCTTTGTGGTGCCCAGGGGGGACCTCCATGCTGGCTCTTCCTTCCTCGCCGCCCCTTGCTCACTGTACTCCACAGTGTTGGGTGGGCAGGTTGCCAGCCCATGTGGGGACTCCGATGATGTAGTGAGGATGCAGCTTCAGGAAGAACGGGTCACAGGGCAGATGCTACAGGCACCCAGGCTTACTCAGAAAACCCCGTCTCAGGTAGACAGATTCACGGAACCCTCTGCTCTGGGTTTCCATAGGACCCACCACCCTGTCTGTGTGGTTTATCTCCCTCTAAGGTGCGGCACCCCTGGGGCAGAGTCCGGCCCTCACTCACTGCTGCATCTCATCGCTGCCGGGCCTGGTGCTGGGTGGGCAGGCATGTGGCTAGAGCAAGCTTGTGCGTGACAGGCTCAAGCAGTGACCCCCCGGGTTGGGGAGGGGCTGCGCTCACTGTGAAAATGTCAGAAACGTGTTCCAGGGACCGTACTGCCCAAAGCCAGTTGAGATGCTTCCTGCTATGGAGATAAATGCCACCAGAACCAACCAGCACTGGCATGCTTGGTCCCCGCTGCCTACGGCACGGGAAGACTGGGCCCCGTGCCTGCTGACTCCACCGGCTCACAGTTGCTGGCCAAGGCAGGACGATGCCTTAGCCTCAGACAAGGACACGGGCAAGACTCCTCAGCCACATGGCCACCTGTGCTCATCGGAGAACCTGTGGCCGGTGGCGGTGGGACTCAACTAAAAACTAACTGAATGGACGTATGGAAAGGACACCCTGACCACACACAAACACACACACACACACACACACACACGCACGCACGCACGGTTAATATTCCGACACGCATAGGCCTAAGGGGGGCCACTATTGGCGGGGGTGGAGGCAGGGGAACATCTGTGTTTGGACCTCGGCACAACTCACGGCCCCAAGTCCTTCTGGCTGGGATCAGACAGGGCAGCTTTGTGTTGGCCATCTCAGTCCACATCGAGTGTCTTCTCAGAAGCCACCAGCCCCAAAGAGGACTATTGCTTGCAGACAGGTGGCTCGGACCTCCCTTCCTGCACCCTGTCCCCGGACCCTGAGTTCGCTCCTAATCTCAGAAGTCCACGGAAGGGGTTTCTGGGCACAGGTGGTGTTTCCTCTTCTGTTACCACGCCACTGCCCTGGCTCTCCCTGGTGTCTTGGTTGAAGCTGTTTTTTGGAGGCTGTACCAGGTGCTCTGGGTCTAACCTCCTTCATCCTGAGGCACAGCAAAAGGGTTTTCTGGAGAGAGTAGAAGAAAGAAGCATCACGCATTAGAGTGAGGAGAAGCCGAGGATGTATGGCATTTGTACTTTGGACACAAAAAGGGTCTGTGGCTCTGTGGTTGCATGGCATTCTAGAGCTCGCGGTCCATGCAATACGACAAGAAAATATAGAGTGCCAGGACTCGAACACAAAAACCCAAATCACAATTAGCTGTTTTACAATCTATCTGGAAAATCTAACAGATGCAGCAGGCTGCTTATCAGAAGACAGGTTGCCAAGGCAAATAAAATTCTCACTCTTTGAGTCATCAGATCTTATGAGGCCCAATGGGTTCATGTCCCACAGCTTAACTATATATCTTGCCTTGAGACAGTTTCACTGAACAGTTGCCAGTGAGCATTTTTTTTAAAAAATACTGCTAGTCTTCAGCCTTCCAAAGTACTCTGATTTGGATGGAAATGTATATAGCATTCTTGTGAAACAAGCAAACAATTATTCAAAACAAATACATGATGCCATTCATATGAATAAAAATCCCATTATGCCTTTTGGGCTCTCACCATTGGACAGGGCTCCATGGCTTTGGGCCAGATGAAGTCATGGAAAAGAACCAAACACACTCCTGGATCAGGGATGACGCAGGAGACCAGTGGGTAAGGTCAAGAAGGTAAGAGAGGCCTGAGGACTGAGGGCCTTGACTGGCTGAGGCAGGGTGCAGGCAGGACAACAGGGAACAGGAGCAAACTCCATCTACACCACAGCTCACCACACTAAGAACGACTACCCAGGGCGGGCAAGCTGCTTCAACGGTAAAGGTGACTGCCCCCGAGCAAGCCTGACAACCCACATGGTGAAAGGGGGGAACCGACTCTCAAAGGTCGTTCTCTGACCTTCACACAGGCGCTTCAGTGTATACACCTACACACAGACATGCACAGAATAAAGAAATGGATGTAATTTTTGAAAAACAAACAAACAAACAAACAACAAAAAAAAAAACAGCAACCCATCTGCAGGTCTGTGTCTTCCTAGAGGCCTTTGCAGATGAGGCTGAACACATGTTGGGGTGACTGGCACAGGGAGGTCAAAGTCTACTGGGCCACAGGAGGGCCCAGGTGGTTGGCTCTTTCCTTATTCTGTATTTCCAGGGTCTAGAATGCCAACTGGCACCCAGTAGGACTCAATAAATATTTGTTGAATGAATGAATGAATGAATGAATGAATGAATGAACGAACCAACCAAGCAATTTAAAGCCTGGACAGGGGAGCCATCTTTCAATCGTGAGGTCAGCGGAAAGATCTGTTTGATACATTTTTGAATTACTGTCCCCGTGAACACTTCTTAAATAAATCACACAGGACAGGCTTGGGCACGTGAGGGGCCACAGGGGAGGCTCTCGCTCTAGGGTTATGTTTGAAAAAGCCCAAGGGTTCTGACAAGCACAGAAGAGAATGGGAATGAAAACAGGGAAGTGGTATAAATAACAGATCGTAGGAGGGACGAGGTGAGGAGGAGGTGGTGTAGATAAAGGAGGTCTGACTCATTTAGAGTTGGGGGCCTGAAGAATTCTTCAGAAGCAGAAGTCAAATCAGACGTGTGAAGGCGCCCAGGACAAAAGAACACAGTGATGGAGAGACAACAGGAGGCGAAGGAGAAGACATCCGACACCGATGTTGCTCATTGTGGGGAGAAAATAAACACGGTATCAAGAAGTAAATGATTAAGCCTATCGCATCCCATTATAATTACGGAGGTAACCATGGCATCCAAACACGGCTTTCCAAGTGATCAGAAAGGCATTTACACAGAGAAATAAAACAAAGAAAACCCAGGCCATCTGGGGGAAATTGACAGCCCCCACCAAAGCTATAAACACACACACACACACACACACACACACACACATACACACACACAAATGTATCATAAACCAGGACAACAGAAATGGGCCTGAATGTGTCTGCTACAGAAGTAGACAAAATGAGCTGTAAGAACTTGCTTAAAAAAAAAAAAAAGATGCTTAGCAGGGATTGAAGATACATTTCACTTCAAGCCAAGTGACTCAGAAAGGCCCGCCCTTCACACCACTGGAGCCCGCACTTCAAAATGGTCAGGTGGTAAGTTCTGCTCTGTGTACTCTACCCTGTTCCAAAAGAAAGCATGCCTGGCAACACACAGTTCAAAGCAGGAGGAACTGAGGGGCCTGGGGTCTGTCTTCAGCACCGAATGAACTGGTGTGGTGGGAATTCAAGGTTCCCCAAAACAACACGGGCGCGGGGAAATGGGCGAGAGGATAAGAAAGCAAGGTAGTGTGTGAGGATGGTAAGAACAGGGACCATGAAGGCCCAACGCTAGTAAATGCCTGTGCACAAGACAGCACAGCTTTGGGATTTGCACCACAGAACAGCTGGGAAGGCAGTGAAGACAGAGAGGCAGAGTGGGCTAACATCGGTGAATCCAGTTCCCTTCTCTCCATGACACACGGAATGGCCAGAACGTACACAAGGGAATCCCCCCCCAACCCTCGCACAACCCTCGCACAACCCTCGAACAACCCTCGAACTTACGTTAGATGGAATCTACCCTTTATTCAAGCGTTGTTGAAACAGTGCCCGCACAGATGCTGACAATCAAGTCTAAATGTCAAAAAGGCGGAAGTAAAACATTATCTCGCCATAGTATAATGGAATTCGAACACACAACACAGGTCAGGGGCAGGAGGTGGTGAGTGGTACACACCTACTCTCTCAGCTTTCGAGACACAGAGGCAGGAGGATCTGCTGCCAGTCTGAAGCCAGCCTGGGCTGCATAGCAAGACTGAAACAAAAATAAACAGAAGACAGCTCGGCTGGTAAGGCGCTCGCCCTACAAGCTTAAGGACCTGAGTTCAGAACCCCAGCACCCATGAAGGAAGAAAGCTAGGTTTCGTGGCCCCCTCCTGTAGTTCCAGCACTGTGGAGGCAGATAGGAGGATCCCGATCCCTAGACCCACTGACCATCCAGTCTAGCCAAACTGGTGAGCTCCAGTTCAGTGAGAGAACCTGTCTCAAATAGTAAAGTGGAAAGTGATTAGGAAAGACATGATGTTCCTTACCCTGTAGCCACCACAGACATCACATGAACATACACACCAGAGAAAAAATGCTAAAACAAAATGAAGCCTATAACCAAAGACTTTATAAACTTTACAACAATACCCAAGTGAAAAAGAGTGAGAGAACAAAGGATAAAAATGATAAAACAGCCGGGCACGGTGGTGCACACCTGTAATCCCAGCACTTGGGAGGCAGAGGCAGGCGGAGCTCTGTGAGTTCAGGGCTGGCCTGGTCTACAAAGCAAGTCCAAGACAGCCAAGGCTACACAGAGAAACCCTGTTTCGAAAACCAAAACCAACCAAACAAGCAGATAAGAAAAACAGAACTTTCAGAAATGGTCAAAGACTGAAGATAACATTTCCAAAGCCTAGTGTTACAGCCAAATCCAAGAGGTCGTTTCATAGCCCTAAATGAGCCTTTCAGAAATGCCAAGACACAAGTGGGTCACCAGGCTCAAACAGTTAGAAAGGACAAGAAACAAACAAAACCAAGGAAGACGCAGGAAAGCAAGAAAGAGATTAAGACTGAAACATCAGCCCGAAGACGAGGCTTATAGACAAATCCAGCTGTTGGTTCTTCGGAAAGCAGTGGGCTGTGTGCACAGCTGGGGATTCCGGCACAGCAGAAGGTGGGAAAGCAAAGGGGAGATGGCATCTGGGAAAGGAGGACCCGAGTGCTTTCTATCTAACTCCAATCTCCAACTAGAATGACTCCTGTCACGGTCTCCAGAGACCCCCACACAGCTAAATCTGTAGCTAGCAGTTACCACCCCTTGACACTGGCCTAGTGGTGCTGACTCAGCAACACTTCTTGTCCTTTCTGGCTGGCTTTAAAGCTGCTGACGCCCAGGTCCCTGACAGCCAACCCTCCTGGACATCTTCATCATCTCAGACTGTATTTTCCCGTCACCTTCAGCCTTAGCATTTTCCAAGGATTTCAGACACCATCTACACTGCTTATAGCCTGTTGCTCTGAAAAACACCACCATCAAGACCAGCCCGGAGAGGAAAGAGTTAACTCTACCTTCCTCCACCATGGAGTGAGAGCCAAGGCAGGACCTCAAGGCAGGAGTTTGAAGCAGAAACCATGACCCCATGCTTGCTCCAGGCTTACCTTCAACTGCCTTCCTTACACAGCCCATGCCCACCTGCCTAGGAAGAGTACCGCCCATAGTGGGCTGGGCCCTCCTCCATCACAAACATGGCCTCAAGCCAATCCGATAGAGGCACTTCTTCACTGACCTTCCCTCTTCCTGGGTTTGTCAAGTCGATAAACTAACCACCAGAGGCTAACGCTACTTTTCTTGTTTCAGTGACTGTGAGGGGTGAAACATGCGAACGGACCACCTGGGTCAGCTTAGGTCCAGCTACTGAGGAGCAGGAAATGCTGGGCCTGGTACCGCCTGCTCATCTAGGCTTCCCCACTCAGGCTAGACGTTCAGATTTAAAAAATTACTAACTGCCAAGTTTGCCCAGTGACCTAAAGATGCGACCAGGCCATGCACACCATAAGCTTTAAAATAAACAGGATGTAGGATGTACAGGTAAACCCAAGCACTGTCTTTGTAGGTGATGGATGATGTGGACAACTGTATCCTGACTGCTTAGCCAGTGAGGAACAAGGGGATGGGCCTGAGTTGGGGGCTACAGAAACAGCCCTTTATGTACCTGCCAGGGGCTTACTTGCTGCCTGAATTTACTAAGTCCAAATAAACTAACTCTCTTTGCTACCCTGAGTCGCTAGTGCTTGTAACAAGCGGGGCTCCTCGTTCCCCACAGTGACCAAATCCCTAAAATGAAGCAACTTAGAGCAGGACAGATTTATTTGGGTCCATGGTTTGAGAGTCCATCATGTCGGGGAAGGGAATTCAGAGGAAGCAAACCTGAACTGCAGGCGACAGAAGCAGGAAGCTTCCGGCT